TCAGCAGAGAGGCACTTCTTGAGGGCAGTTTGTCTTCCTTGTTTTAGGTATCTATGTGAGGATGAGTAATCCTCAACAGGCAACTCTTTATGGACTATACAGAGCTTAGACAACTGAGACTAGTATCTTGCTTTTACAGAGCTGACATAAGGCAATAAGAACCCTAGGTCTGTGTGAGGTGTTTGTCATGAAGGCCACAGGCACGGTAGTTTTCTATTCTAATTGATTACAAATAAATCTCTATACTGTAATGTAGATGTGTACTCTTACTCCTTTCTCATCCCCAAGAGTCCTAGGCCTTCACTATACTTTCAGTCTTTACTTTTTACTAAAAAAAATGTTCAGCAATATAGGCTTAGCGAGTGTGTTTTTACTAGAAAGTATGACATCACTTGTAGAAAGAATTCCACTCCTCTGCAAAATACTATCTGTGCAAATGAGTATGGGAACAGCAGAGAGGAAGGCAGGTGGGATGTTAACGTTTGAGGGGACAAGGAGGAAGAGGCGAAATTACAGAATGCCACAGAAAAGAAAAAGAAATTATTCAGCACTTGGAACAACAGAATGACCTAGTTGTGATTAAGCTGATGAAAAATTTTAAAGAACCGAGAAATTAATTTTGCATAAAATCCATGGGAACAGAACCTGAAAAGTTAAAACAGAAGCCCTCAGTGAGACAGAATAGTTTACAATAAATTTCTTAGTTCCTTTGGGTAAGCTACAAGTTGTTTCTCAGTAGATACTACGGGTCGGCATTTTACTTTTTGACTGCATGTCCACGGTCAGCATTTCTACTTCCTTTCAAGGCACACTTCCTCTCTCTTTCATTATTAGTAGATGATTAAAGGAGATGATGACTTGTAAGAAACAGGGGCAACATACATAATTTCTTACTCTGTTCTGAGCACATATTACTTTTTACCACCTACAGTGTTAAGGATCTCAAAATGCCATTTCAGGAGAAAACTAAAGCAGTCATCCATACCTCCTCCTCCAACGCTGTTTCCCATTAGTCAGTGTACAGTGATGGGCCTAAATTGGGATAAAACTATAACGACAGCTATAAATATTTATTTGAACTGCATTTGCTAGACGCTGGTTCCACTGAGTTGTTGAAATTATCAGTAGTGGATTTAACAAAATAATACTGTACTCAAGTTGGTCAGGCATTTAAAATTCATCGCTGTCTCTTACCTTCTCTTATGGCTGTCTTCTGAGCACAGAGCTTGGCATATCAGACCAATTAGGCAGAACCAAAGTGCTGCTAGTGCAATTATCCTCCAGTCACTGACGGACTTAATGAGGGGTATGCAGCCCATTGACCAATCAAAACATAGCCACCAGGGACACAACAGCAACCATGCATTCAAAGAATAGTAGTAATTATAGTTTATAGCCTGTCAGTCAAAAAGAAAACAAACATTTATTTGATACTAAACTTAAGGTGGGGAGGCAACTTTAGTGTTTCTCACTGCTATCATTTCCCTTATCACAAAATACATCTTATTCGATAAAGAGGCCTGTTAGACTACAACTAGTTACATATCCATTTGTTGTACAGATGTGAAATTAATTTTTAATTTTTTTTAAACACAGCTAGGTGGCTCTCCTATTCAGAGCAGGGAAATGCAACTCTGTGCTGTCCAGCCAATATCCACATGTAAAAAGAATAATCTCCTACAGTAGCAGAAAATGTCAAAAGACAGAACCCACTTCATTCTCCATCTCCAGAAAGAGCCTTAATGCAGTCAGAGATACAAAGCCAAGACATACTCCCTCCAAATGCAGCAGACCAGAACTTTATGCCATTTTCTCCAATTGTGAAAGAACAGACAAAAAGTCAAGCACAGTATGTGGAAAAGGAATGACACCCAGCAAAAGCTAAATCCTTGCATGCATGGGAAAAGGAGTGAGTAAATGGAAATGTATTTCAATGTGTGCAGTGCATGCTAAATTGAATGCAAAGAATATACAAGATACAGTATTTTAAAAAAAATTGCAGAAAATCATCACAGCAGCACAAGTAAAGGTGACTCATCACACATCCTGAAATGTAAAGACTGCCCACTTTACTGTTTCTTTGAAGCACAGAAAATTCAATTTGATGACAAAGACAAATGTTCTGAGCTGGCCAGAAAAAAGCAACTTTGTAACTTACTCTCACAAACAGACTGTCTGCAAATGAAGCTGGGTTGTCTACTTCAGTGAAAGCTGGTGGCCCTGTGCCCATAATCCTCCAGCGTATATAAAGTATACTGGCCCCTCCAGACATCAGAAGAGTTATCCTGAAAATCAGCCCCTTTCTTAACAGCCCAGCATTCTACAGGAAATAAAGAAAAAACCCCTCATATAAAACGCATTATTTTGTTTTCTTCCCTACATTCACATCCTTTTTGTTACTATCTCAGAAAGAAGAGCTATTCCTGTGCATTTTTGCTATTAGAGTTGACATTTTTATTACTTTTGCAGTTATTAGAAAGCTCTCAAACTTTACTATGCTTTCTATGACTAACTACAAAATATTTTTTGCAAACATTTTCATTTCCTTCTCAATCAGAAAACGAAACTTTATTTATTCAAGAAGTCTCTCTCCTACAAATCTTCAGTAACTCTATAGCTGAAGTAGTTTTACACAGCAATTTCTGATAGGGAATTTGAGCTGAATATCGCCTTTAGTACATGGCATACAAAATTGATCTATCTTTTCTTTTTAAAATGGAGGATGGTTACTTTGTGAACTTTGTTTTAAATAGCTATATCCAGTTGACTGCTTATCATGGGATGTTTTTGTCCATCTAGGTCTCTTTAGCGGTAAAATTACATGCATACAAGAAAGTTGCATAGTCAGAAACTAGGAGGAATTAAGAAACTGAATTAAAATTTTCACAATCGCTAACTTTTTTAAAAAGCTAGTAACAGACAGGCATCCAAATCACTTTGTTCAGGCTAAAATTACCCAAGATCTAAAAAGAAATCTGTTTTATCTACATTAACTCAGTTGATTTACATCAGATTTTATAATACACACCTTAGGGCCTAAAGAAGGGAATTCACATAAAACATAGAGAACTGACGTCACAAAAGCTGAATTTGACAAACTTCCATTTTTTCCTATGTGAAGTATAAGACACTTTCTCCAAGCACACATTAGTTTCATAAATGAAAAGAAATCCACTGTATACTGTCGAGGTTCTTCAAGCTTTGTGTCATGGTGTAAGCCCACCCAGCCAGCAACTTGACACCCCACAGCCACTCACTCACTCCTACCCCCACCCCCAGGGCAGAGAAAATACAACCAAAAGGCTCCAGGGTCGAGACAAAGGACAGGGAGGGCTCACTCACCAGTTATGGTCATGGGCAAAAGACAGACTCAACTTGGGGAAATAACATCAATTTAATTTAAGCACCACTAATTTACCAATCAAATCAGAGTAGAACAGTAACAAAAACAACCACCTCTTAAAAACACCTTCCCCCCATCCCTCCCTTCTTCCCAGGCTCAGCTCTGCTCCTTAGTTCTCTATCTCCTCCAGGGAATGGGGGCTGCAGCCAGGCCATCACACCTTGTTTCTGCTGCTCCTTCCCCTGAGGGGAAGGACTCCTCACACTTTCCCTCTGCTCCAGCATGAGGTCCCTCCTATGGGAGACAGTCCTCCACAAACTTCTCCATTTAGAGTCCTTCCCAGGGCACTGCAGCTTTTCACGAACTGCTCCAGCATGGTTCCCTTCCGCGGGGTGCAGTTCTCCCAGCAACAGGCTGCTCCAGTACGGTCTTCTCTCTGAGTCATAGCCCTCTTCGGGTGCAGCCACCTCTGGCATGGGGTCCTCCACAAGCTGCAGGTGGGCATCTGCTCCACCAGTGATGTCCACGAGCTGCAGGGGGTCAGCCTGCTGTCTCACCATGGGCTGCAGGGCAATCTCTGCTCAGGCACACCTCTCCCCCTCCTTCTTCACTGACCTGGGTGTTCACATAGTTTTTTCTCTCATGTCCCCCTCCTCTTCTCTGCTCCCAAACAAAAGACCTGCCTAATAGCTGGAAGATGCACCTGCCCTGATAAAGACCACAAGGACTGGGGCCTTGCCAAAGGCAAAGATTGGAATTTTCCAGCTGTTAAAACCCGATCACTTTGTTTACCTTGCCTTTTCGCATGCTTGCCCCCAGCTAATTGGAACTGAACACAGGTCAGACTTAACTAAAAGTCGCTCCACCGGAAAGCCAACTGGAGTTGGTCCTCCTTGGAGCAGTGGGTTTGTGGTCTGGGACTCTCCCCTTGTATCAGAACACTGACCAAGGAAATTTCCCAGGATTGAGCAGCCTCCCCACCCCACCTTTGGTGAGTGAATACTTCTTTGGGATATATCCTTAAGTCAGCCCTCACCCCTTTAGGGCAAGTGATTCCATTTTCTGGGTACCCTTCAGTGGGAGGTTCTTCCCCCTTTTGTAAGTGAGTGCGTGCACATTTCGGATCATCTTTCTAAAGGAACTACTCGTGAAACTGCGGAATTCTTAAGTCAAGTTGTGTAGTATTATATTGCTGCCTGACAACCGTCAGAGTGTTGGATGATTTTTGGTTGGAATAAATCTTCATTTTGAGTAGCTGCTTTGTTTTGTGGGTGCCTCTGCCTGGCATCCAGGCTTGTGGTTTTCTTAGGTTTGTCAGTGTTTTGAGTGACTACTCTGTTTTGTGGGTGCCTCCGCAACAAACAGGTTTTTCCCCTCTTAAGTATATTATCACAGAGGTACTGATCAGCTCAGCCTTGGCCCGAAGCACATCTCACTTGGAGCTCGGGAGCTTCTAGAAGCTTCTCACAGGAGCCACTCCTGTGGCCCCTGCCCTGCTACCAAAATCCCACCACACACAAATGTAACACACTTCAACAGTAGAGACTGGAAACAGAATCGTCAGTAATTTTAACAATATCCCTGCCACAGCTTTGAGATGCAAATCCAAGCTTCCAGCACCCTGCCCAGCTAGCAAATGGTAAGTCAGATAGGACGTGAAGGACATAGCTTCTCTCTGACCCTATATTACAGTGCTGTAGGGGTGCCTTAGAGCCCTCTGAAACCTGATGGCTGAAAGTATTCTATGCAGCCTCAAGTCATTAGAGAAGCAGAAGATGGAAGAGGAGAGTTTCTCTGAAATGAGAGATCATTTGGGCCACTTTTCTTTCCATTCTACACATCTGAAGATGAAAGTATCAGTAAACTATGGATTTTTACATGGAAGAGTTGACTGGATCCTAAAAAATATGGTCATATGATCTCTAGTAATAGTTTTCCTTTATTCCTACCTTCCTCCCTTAGTCTGATATGCTTCTATTACCTTTAAAAACCTACCTCATAGTTATACATGATCAGTTGTATCCTCAGTGCACACTGATTATTATTACCTATTATTGCAATATGCTGATTAGCAAGCACCATCATAATTATTTAGGAGATCAATATTAGTTATTCTCTAAAATTATGGAAAAGTTAAGTTTAACAGCAATATTCAGATTATTTTTTAATATTTGTAGTTGACAATGGAGTTATCATAAAATATTTAGCTGAATGCCTAAGGATAAAGAAGTTTGTAATGTTGATTTTACATAAGTTAGCCTTTGTGCTCAAATGGTTTCTTACAACTTACACATCTCAGTAATCAAAGTCACTATAATGAAGATTATAGAAAAACCATTCCTAAAAACTGGTTTTGGAAGAGAATTGTGCTACGAAGGAAAACCATATAGTGACAATTTATAACTGCCTTATGACAGATTAACTACACAAAATCTCTTATCATTTAATTTCATCACGCAACTTCTTAAAGGCCAGATTTCACAAATAGCCACAAAAATCTCTCAGTAGGCAGAATTTTAAAGTGGAAGAAGTGTTATTCATATCATCTTTGATTTAAAGTTAACTGAAATCTGTCAAAAAACTGAAACTTGTCTCAATCAAGAAGAAAAAAAATCTGCAAGTAAGAGAATTTAAGATCTGCCTTTCAACAAAACAAAACAAATCTTAGATACACTTCCATGAAAAGAGCAGAACAGATTTTTATAGGTGGCAGGAGCTAAAATTAATTACTTCTATTAAAAGCAGCAGGAAAAAAGGCACACTCGATCTTTTCTTCATGCAGAGAGCTGTTTAAAAGTCACAAAATGGAAGCATAACACTTTGAGCTCTTCATGCTTAAAGAGTAATCCTCCAGAAAGGTTTGACACTGACACCTTTCACAGAATCATAGAATGGTTTGGGTTGGAAGGGACCGTTAAACATCATCTAGTCCAACCCCCTGCCATGGACAGGGACATCTTTCATTAGATTAGGTTGCTCAAAGCCCCATCCATCCTTCCAGGGAGGGGGCATCCACAACTTCTCTGGGCAACACGTTCCAATGTCTCACTACTCTCATTGTAAAGAATTCATTACTGTTCAAACACTGGAACAGGCTTCCTAGAGAGGTGGTTGATGCCCCAAGCCTGTCAGTGTTTAAGAGGTATTTGGACAACGCCTCCAGTAACATGCTTTAACTTTTGGTCAGCCCTGAAGTGGTCAGGCCATTGGACAAGATGATCATTGTAGATCCCTTCCAACTGAAAATATTCTATTCTATTCTAATCTAAATCTACCCTCTTTCAGTTTAAAACCATTGCCCCTTGTCCTGTCACTACAGGCCCTGGTAAAAAGTCTCTTTCCATCTTATAAAGGGGCTTACAGCCCCTTTTAATATCTTGAAAGGCCACAATAAGCTCTCCCTGGAGCCTTCTCTTCTCCAGCCCAAACAACCCCAACTCTCTCAGCCTTTCTTCATATGGAAGGTGCTCCAGCCCTCTGACCATTTCGTCACCCTCCTCTGGACTCACCCCAACAAGGCCATGTCTTCCATCCACCCCAGAGCTGAACACAGTACTCCAGGTGGAGTCTCACAAGAGAAGAGCAGAAGGGCAGAATCACCTCCCTTGACCTGCTGGCCACACTTTTGATGCAGCCCAGTATACAGTTGGCCTTCTGGGCTGCGAGTGCATATTGTGAGCTCATGTCCAATTTTTTATCCACCAGTATCCCCAAGTTCTCTGCATGGCTGCTCTCAATCCATTCATCCCCCAACCTGTACTGGTATTGGGGATTGACCCAACCCAGGTGCAGGACCTTGCACTTGGCCTTGTGGAACTTCATGAGGTTCACATGGGCCCACTTCTCAAGCTTGTCAAGCTCCCTCTGGATGGCATCCCTTCCCTCAGCTGCACCACTCAGCTTGGTGTAATCTGCAAACTTGCTGAGGGCCCACTCGATCCCACTATGTCATTGATGAAGATATTAAATAGTATTGGTCCGAGTATGGACCCTTGAGGACACCATTCATTACGGTTTCCACTTGACCATTGAGCCATTGACTATATTACACTAGATGCACACATCCAGCCAATTCCTTATCCATCTTACAGTCCATCAGTCAAACCCATATCTCTCCATTTTAGCAGCAAAAATGTTGTGGGGGACCATATCAAAGGCCTTGCAGAAATCCAGGTAGATGACATCAGCAGCTCTTCTCTTGTACACTGATGCAGTCACTCCACTGTACAAGGCCACTACATTAGTCAGGCACGATCTACCTTTGGTGAAGCCATGTTGCCTGTCTCTAATCACCTCCCTGACTTTCATATGTTTTGACATAACTTCCAGGAGAATCCGTTCCATGATCTTACCAGGCACTGATGTGAGGCTGACCAGCCATTTATTCCTAGGGTCCTCCTTATTACCTTTTATTTCTATAACTTTAATTCCAAACTGGCTCTGCTTTAGTCCCCTACAGCTCTAGAATCTTTCTTTGTCATATGCTGGTTGACACAACTCTCATTATACAGCAAAATTCTCCAGCATTCCTATCTGCTGCCTGAAATACTCCTGCACCTGCACTTAGCTGTTCTTGGCCAAACCTACTGTTTCAGTTCTAGAGATTCCACTTTCACCAATTTCCCCGAGACTCCTCACTTCACTCTTTGCAAAGGAATTTAAAAGCCTCGTAGGACTTGTGCTACTCATAAGCATGAGCAAGACTTCTCTGCAGTGAAACCACTGATCAATGCAAAGTACAATGAATATTTCTTTGCCTTGCTGAACCTTGGATGGGACAGGCAAATGATCTAGCTGTTGAACAGGAGCCTGTTGGTCTATTTGGCTGCTATCAATCATTCACCTGAGGCTGATTGTTTCTATGATTTCCTTGCCAGTGCAAATACTAGGTGCCAGATTCCACTTGAGCCAATACTAGATAAAGCGATGTCAACAAAAGTCAGAAATTCAATCCTTAGCAACTATCAGTGCTCACATTTCTTTTAAACTCCCAAGCTACTAGGATCTGTCTCCTGTTTGGTAATTTGTATTCTGAAAAAAACCAGCGTAATACTTTAGTGGGATTGGCAAAGTAGACACAGTATTTTTTTAATGTAGTTTCTCAAATGTCTAACTATCTCATTTGAGCATCTGAATAAATCTCTCTCTCTTTACTCTGACCAAACTGTGTTAAACATTTCAGGTGCATAGCTACTGACCCTGGAGAACTTATTGCATCAAGCAGTCAGCTCTTCCACACCACATTTTTAACATACTGTTGAGAGAAATGTAGAATTAATTTCACTATCTGATGCAATTCTAATGCTATCCCACTACTGCTCGTGTCGCTGCAAAGATGTCACAGCACATTGCCTTACTAGGCTGACTGAAAATACCTTTTTTCTTTTTTTTTTTTTCCATTCTCAACAACAACAAAACTGTCAGCAGTTGTATCTTTGTCTTTTAGTAGATGACTGTCCAAATGGTTAGAATGACTAAAACCTCTGAGGACTCACCTCCAATGACTTGTCCTTATGTAGTAACTTTTGAATAAGCTCCAGAACATTAAGCTTGTTAATCACCAGTGCATCAAACACTGCATTCAAACCCTAAGAAACCAAGAGAAAAATAAGAGCATAAGATGGAGCAGCTAACCACAGATATATACTTTTTTTTAAAAATACATCTTAAATTCCACTTCTACCACGAATTATTGAACATCTTAATTCTGATTCCAAACAAGTAGAGATACATGTGGGTAGTAATGATGGCAGAATGGTAAATCAAGAACGTAAGCTCAGATGAGTAGAGTATCATTTTACTGTAATGAGGATTCTCCTGTTATATGGAATAATCCTTCGGGGACGAGCAAGCTAGACCCCATGTACATGGTCACAACAGTATTCTGCTCTCTCTCCTCTTTCTCCAATGTCCTGCAGTGTAAATGCTGCGGTCAAAAGGTGAAGCTTCTGTCAGTAAGGTGGAGCTTCTTTAAGCCTTCTACTTATTTTTCACTTTGCAGCATGGTATCTTTTGACTGTCAGGTTTCAGAAATAGTATTTTTAAAGGGTACACAAACTGTCACAACAAACAAAGGCTCAGAAAGATTTAACAGAGGTATCAGACTTGCTTTTGTTGCAATTACAACAATATACACAGTGGAAGTTGCTGCAAAGTTCTATGCGATCAGTCAGTACACATAAAACTAGAGCATATTCAGCACTTTGCAGGACTACACTGGCACATACTACCCCCCAAGCAAGCAACCAAGATGTACCCAGGGGAAATTCTGCTGAGGTGCCCAGCAAAATCCAATGTCAACATTTTCCTTTCAATGTTTCACCCATCACCAACCATGACAATCCTTGATTATTTAGTCTAATAGGTTTAGAAATTACCTCAATGTTCTAAAGTCTAAGTGGAAAAAAGACATAAAAATAGTTCCAGATCAGGCAAAGAGTTAGTACATCATGAGACCACAAGTTTCTTTCTAACAGTCAAAGTGAGAAGACAGAAGATAGGTTAGAGCGCAGCACGGTTCCATGTAGAAAGGCCACATGGCAGTTAAAGGCTTTTGGCTCACTTGCATGGAGGTAGGAAGGCAAGAATCTTGCTGTGAAACACATTCAGCCTACAAGTAATCTTTTTAATGTGTGATTTATCCTTTCATCCCTCTGACCCGTGCCCCTCAGCACAGCAATAAATATAATTGTCCTAGCAATGCAACAGCAAACAAATAAAAAACCCAGATCCAATTGACAATTCCGTGTCTGCTAGCTCAAATAATTACTTCATACCACTAAAGGAAATAATCACACCATATTTTAAGAGAACTCCTTATATTTTCCTTACAGACACCTTTGAAAAATACATCACTCTACAAACATCTATCCAAAAATAATGTTCTAAAGCAAGAAGTTTTCTGTAATTTCTTCTCCCTTTTTCTCTAGCAAAGACAAGAGGGTCCTTGCTGCAAAGAGCTCTTCTGATTCTGTTGCTTTATCTATGTCAGTTAAAGCTACAAATTTGATTCATTTATAAAGATACATGGCTATACAAAAGGCAAAAATCACATATATAGCATTTCAGGTGGCTGATCTGGTCACCCAAACCACAATGTCTTCACTGAAGTAATAAAAAGCAAGAGCACAATGAACATAAACAGTAACTGTATCTGTTTGCATAGACAGATCCTTACATAAGGGACAGAAGGAAGAGATTCAGTATTAGAAATGCATAAACAATGGCCCTACTTCCAATTACACTGTTTACAAAAGCAAGAGGGCGGAGCTTTCAAAAATGCTCTCCTCCAGTTATATCCTTGCTCATAAGCCTTCAATGAGAAGTTTGTAGGCCTGCTATCTTGACAATTACATTCAAAACCAAGGCCAACGAATGTGATATGCCTTGAAAATAACACTGTAAATCCTCTAAATTTTGAAAAAATAAACAGATATATGCAACCTGCTTACAAAATATAAAATGAAGAATTTCAACAGATTGGCAGGGATACAATCAAGACTGACCTACCAGAATACTACTTTTTCTCAATAATAACTAGTTTTCAGAACAGAATAAAAAGGTGTGCATGCAATTAGCTGTGGAGAAGATTCATTTTTGTAGGCTTTACAACTGTGTCTGACAGATGCTGAGGTCAAAATTCAGTCAATAAGAGGATTCTTACCAGTATTGTAATTCCTTGTTCTTTGCACAGCATGGCTATTGCACCTAGGATAACACTCACCAGCACCCAGAATATAGAAAAATTATGTCCTTCCTTATCTGTCAAAATAAAGCATGCCATAAGATTAGGTTTATACATTTAAAGGTAAAGTTAGAAATCTAAATTAAAATTAGAATTTTAAATATATACAGCATTTAATCTCACAATCTTTTCTATTGGTCATGATCTGGATACACAGGCTTAAAAAGCACAGGGCACTTCCTGCAATATGCTGGCATTTGTCCCTTTATTGCAGTCATTTTCTATTCACAGAGACATTAGAAATCTCCCTATTTGCTAGATGTTTTATCCACATTGATTAGAATGGCAGAGTCTTCACTTAGTTTCCACAATTCATCATCTGCAAAGGTTAATTCCCAATATTTAGACACATTTATCATCCTTAGCTAGAGCTCTATCATTACTGGGTCCTGTCTTCCAAGCTACTGTAAGAACAAGAAGTTCTTTCTAATGGTTACACGTGAAGTGTCACACACACAAACTGTTTTAACTGTAGTCTAATCCACAAAGGCACAATGAGCTGCTTCTCCAGGGCTGCTGCATTTAGAAAGTACCTCATGTCATTTCATTAGCACTGCAATGGAATGCCATGGAGCTCAAAAATTTCAGCATCTGAGCAGAGAAGCAGTTAGTTCTTGCACTCAGGAAGCAGTTTTACAGCAGGGTGAGGAACTCTGGGGTTAAGAGATCAAGAGTAACTACAGCTTCTACTCAAAGAAAGAGTCTTTAAAGACTGCACGGTGTAGCTGATTTTAGGTACTACAAGCAGGCATTGCTGAGGTTAATATAACAATAAGCTCTACTTCAGCCAAAGTACTATCACACACACAGTACATGGATACTTCATGTAAAAAAATATCTGTCACAACCTCTCCTCCACAGGTGCAAGCAACAGAGAGAAGCACTCTGCTCATTCAGAGGCAGTTTCTTGATTCAAGCAACATGGGCTCTACAGGCATCACAAGAATCAATCTTTGACTTGGCATGTGAAAAAACAAAGTTGAACTCCACATTCGTTGACTGAATCCCTTTCCTACCTTCCTTGATCTCTAGAGCAGTTCTTCCCTACTGCTAATACAGATTTGACCCTCAGTACTTAAACAGAACTGCAATAAAGGTCTATGGAAAGGGTAAATGTCAGAAGTACAATTAATTTCACCAGAAGTAGGCACTTACACCTAAGCTAGTATACTAGGGCTTTCTTTCCAACTGGTTGAGAGAAGGGGACACCTTTAGGGATTAAGTTACCTAATTAAATGCAGTTGTCCACCTTTCAGAGAAGTAGCTTGCTCTTTTCACTGATTATAAAAGGAAACTAGTATACTACCTCAGATGTTGTTGAGTCAGACACAAACCATAACCACAAATGTGAAAAGGACCTCCTGACACTGGCCTCCTCTCTCATTTTGAAGCAGACTCCTTTCTTTTGTGGCAGAGAGCAGAAGTTTTCATAAAAATATGTGGAAGAACAGGTTTTGAGGTTGCTTCTATCACTCCTTTCCTACCTAAGACTTAAAGCTTCAACGGAGTGAATACTAGGATATTTGAGACTCATCATTGCAATACCTAGTAGGCATTTGTTCCTTCTCCCTCCACTTCAAATTATGTCCTCACAGGAGAGGTAAGACTTATTAACATCAGAGGTGCAGATGTTACAAAGTTAAAAGGAAGCCTTCTGAAGGAAAGAAATCATACACATCTCAGCAATACCAAAGCAAAACATGGAAATACAAAATACATAATAACTGAACTAAAGAAACATTGCAACTAAAAAAAAAAGCAACGAGCAAACTCCAGCTCATATTAATTATAAAGAAGATCAATCGAAGGTTGCAATTCATGGAGAAAAGGGCTTAAAAATTCGTTCTGAGTATTGCTAAGAATAAAAGGAATCTGTTCTAAATACATCCCTTGAAGGAGCTTTTCAACTCTTGAGATTTTGCAATACAACAGACTGTTCAGCCAGTTCTTGAAATTCAGGGGGGGGGGTGTTTTGTTTTTTCTTTTTTTTAAATGTAGAAATAAACTAGCTGAGACAATGCAAAGATGGAAGACAAAGTAATTGACTGTGTTTACACAATGACAATCAGTCACTCTTAGTAAGTGTAAAAGGGAGAATGGTGAACAAAGCCAATGGACTTCACCAAGTTTCCTGAAGTATACTTTCTTCTACTGAGAGATTTCTTCTTCCCAGAATCAAATTCTGGCAGAAAGAAGTCAGGACAGCTAAGCACTTCTCAGAAACGCAGTATTCAGTACACAAATACAAACTATCTTAACATGGGAGATAGTAGGAGGTATATATAGTAAGAGACCAGCTGGCAATTCACAAATGCTTTGATGAGTAAAAATGTAAGAGTAATAGGAAAAAAGGAACTAGGTCAAATTATCAAGGACAAGTGTAACAGCAGCACACTCATACTGAAACAAAATCAGAAAGGTCACATCACAAAATGAGAAAAGGTGATGTATGTAAAGAACAAAACCCACAACTCCATAGATACGTTAGTAAGAAGAGCAGCAGCAAGGAAGGAGTCATTCCAATACTCAGTGGGAAAGAAAATGGGCAATGCCAAGAAAACAGAAGTGTTCTGTTCCTTTGTGCTTCATTTTTTCACAAAGAGGTCAGCTGCAATCAGATGGCAAGCACAACATGAGCAGAAAGCAAACAAGAACAAAAGCAAAAATAGTGAACTAGAAGACAGAGTTTTTGAAGAAGTTAATCTGTTTTAAATTATAACAATTGGTTAAATTTACTCCAACAGCTCCTATACAGCCCAGAGTAATCTCAGTTGTTACCTCTGAGAAATCATGAAAAACACACGAGGAGCCTGAAGCTTGAAATAAAAATCAAACTATGTCTACATGCCTACTTTTAAAGAGGAAGGGACATGAAAGGATAAACCAAAGAAACAAAGCTAAACTGACTGGTCAGAATTACCCAGAAAAAAACCCCACTTAGAGAAAATATTTTCTAGGTGACTGACCCTCTAAACCATAAAAGGATATGATTAATTTTTTCCCAAAGACATATTTTAGCATTTTGTATCAAACTAAGTATAATCTCTGACTTGGACAGAAAAGAAAAGGGCCCTCCCAATGAAAGCAAACCTGTAAACATCCTATACCTTGACTTCATGAGGGCAGAAGAATACCATTGGAGTTGTGTAAAATACACCAGAAAAAGTATGGGCTGCAAGAGGTTATTATAGAATGGGTACATATAATACCTCGAAAACCACACTAAGAGTCTAGCTCATTGTGAAAAATGTAAAGATACATTCTGGATTGAGTCTTTCCTTCATCTGGCTTTAATAGATAATTTAAAAAAATTGAATAATGGAATAAGGCATATGCTGATTAAGTCCAGCAGTGCTGCCAGGCTGCAACAGCCAGGAAGCATATACTAAGGAGAAGTCAGAATTCCACTGACAAACTGGAGAAATGGTCTAGCGAAAAAAACCTGATAACTGAATGCCACTTAATAGGCATTCAAAAGTTGTGCAGAAACAGGTTTGTCTTCTTATGAACATCCCAACTCTCAGACGCCAGAAGTGCCTCAGCATGTCAAGCGTAGTCAAGATTATGTATGGACTCTCAAAGAGCAAAACAGCACCCAGCAAAAATAATAAGGGACCCATATTGAGGATCATATGGGTGACAGTGTCAAAGGCCTGAACTTCAGTAAGGCCTTTGACACAGTCTCCCATAAGATCCTCAAAGACAAGCTGTTGATGTACAGGCTGGACACGCAGACAGTGAGGCAGATTGAAAACTGGCTCAACGGCCAGGTCCAGAGGGTGGTGATCAGGGGCACAAAGTCTAATTGGAGGCCAGTAACTACCAGTGTATCCCAGTGGTCAATACTGGGTCCAATCCCATTTAACATCTTCATTAATGACCTGGACGATGAGGTGAAGTGCACCCTCATCAAGTCTGCAGATGACATAAAACTGGGAGGAGTGGCTGATATGCCAGAGGGTCATGATGCCATCCAGAAGGACCTTGACAGTCTGGAGAAATGGGCTGGGAGGAACTTTATCAGGTTCAACAAGGAGAACAGCAAAACCTTGCACCTGGAAGGAACAACACGGGGCACAGTACATGCTGGGGGCCACCCAACTGGAAAGCAGCTTGGCGGAAAAGCACCTGAGGGTCATGGTGTACACCAAGTTGAACATGAGTCAGCAATGTGCCCTTGCAGCAAAGATGACTAATGGTATCCTGGGCTGCATTAGACAGAATATTGCCAGCAGGCCGAGGGGGTAGAATCCTTCCCCTCTATCTCAGCACTGGTGAGGCCATACCTGGAGTACTGTGTCCATGTCTGGGCTCCCCATTACACGACAGCCATGGACATATTGGAGTGAGTCCTCGAATGGACAATAAGATGATGAAGTGACTGGAGCATGTCTCCTATGAGGAAAGGCTGAGAGAGCTAGGACTGTTCAGCCTGGAGAAGAGAAGACTCAGGGGGAATCTATCAACGTACATAAATATCTGAAGAGAGGGTGCAAAGAAGACAGAGACAGGCTCTTTTCAGTGGTGCTGTGGGAGCATCAGAGAAAATGGGCACAAACTGAAACTTGAAACACTTTTTTACTGAGAGGGTGACCGAGCACTGGCACAGGTGTCCCAGAGAGGTTGTGAAGCCTCCATCCTTGGAGATACTCAAAAGTCATCTGGACACGGTTCTGGACAACTGGCTCTAGATGACCCTGCTTGAGCAAGTCAGCTCAGGTGACCTCCAGAGGTCCTTTCCAACCTTAACCATTCTGTGATTCTGTGATCAAGATAACTTCCTGAAAACCATAATCTCTGTTCCTTTGTTTTCTTTTGCAGCCTCAAAAGGTGAATAGAGTCACATATAGAATTGTAATATTATGAAAGTTCATCAGTGATTAAACTTTAACGAGAAAATGTCAGTTAGGAAACATTTTATCTTGTGCTTGTTCTGGGGTCAATACACACAACACC